TAATTATCCTTCTTTGTACACAGGATAATTCTCCTAATCTAAGATATATATCCTGATTCAGGATAATCTTCATTAATCTCTTCTAAATAAAGGTCTAATGCGAACGTGTTACTAATTAATTACTTCTGCGGAATGTAACATGAACTCATATAATTAAATTAAATCATTCGGGAATTATTACAAATAAAATAAAATTAAAAATAAATAATAGATAAAATAAATAACTAAAAATAAATAACGAATAACTAAAAATAATAAATAAATAAATAAATGATATAAATAATATAAGAATAAGATATAAAATATTACTCCGGATTTTCAGGGTTATTGATCAGCGAATTAAGGTCCAATTCGCATTCCGGTGACACTAGGTATGAAGTAAATAAGTCAGATTTCAAATTTGATCCTCTGACACTACCAAAGTATAGGTTGTAATATTACAAATTGTATTCTTTTCATCTTTGTAAACAAAGTAACTTTCAAATGATTCTCTAAAAATTAAAGTCATGAAAACCACCACCACCATTCTTAAAACACTTACCTGGCAATCTCTCCAGATATGTTTTCTTGCCTTCTTTTATTTGTCTTTTTTGTTGAGACATCTTCAAAAAAAGGAAAAGTTATTTGATAGACAAACACGTACACATTAATTATTTATGTATGGAACCCCTGTTGGTTCTTTAATAAATTTAAAATATCTAATTAGTCAAACCTTGCTTGTCACAGTAAATTATAATTAATTCGTATTATAATGAATTTTAAAGGAACTTTCTTATGCATTTGTTGTGACAAGGTTTGACTGTAATCACAATTCACATTAACTTTTCATACCAAGTGCTTGTTTTTATTTCCCAAATTGTCAAATTAGAATTTAATAAATAATAAACTAACATAAATAACAGTGTAGCAAACAGTGTAATTTCATCAAAAACTAGTACAAATTTGGAGACTATCTTCAAGGAACGTGTAACGTAACACGCAAATTCGTGTACTGAAATGGTAATGGTAACAATAATCGACAAATTCAGACTTTCATTATGCTGTCGCACCAATTCCTATAATAAATTAAAAACCAAGCCGCAGTCGTATGAATTCCCAACAACTGCTCAGTCGAGACAGCAGCTATTAACTGTAAGTGTTTTCTAATTATTCTTATTTTTTTTGGTGGAAATTAATTGTTTTTTAAATTTTTTTTTTTATAATTTAATAATAATGTTTAAAAAAATAAATTAAAATCAAATTATACCAATATAATAAATAACATGATTGTTAATAGTAAAAGAGGATACAAAAAATGCAAGCACAAGGTACAACTGAAGCCAATAGCCCCGAGTTTGCTCAATCAATGAACATTTTAAGATCTTACCAACAACAAGCTCAAAAAAAGCAGCAACAAGCACAAACAAAAACACAGCCTTCGCAAACAGTGCAACCATCGCAATTAATAAATCATCAACAACAACAAATGAATCAGCAACAATCTGATATTATTGGTTCTAATTCTAGTAATTCTCATAATAATAGTAGTAGTGGTAATAGTAGTGATAATATTAATAATATTATTACTACTAATACTAGTAATGTAAAAAATAAAATAAATAATGCTAATGGTAGTTATGATAATAATACAAGCAACAGTAATAATAATGACGGTAGTTCCAATAATAATAAAAGTAACAATAACATTAATAATAGTAACAATAAAGATAGTGGAATATCAAATTCTGAAGTTAATGTAAATTCTAACAATACTAACTCGCCACTATTATCACAAGAACAATTGATTGCGTTGAAATTTCAAATCTTAGCATTTAAATTAATATCTCGTAATATACCAATGCCACCACAATTAGAACAGGCAATGTTTAATCCAGAACCTATCCAAGGAATAATGTCTATGCAAGATTTGTCCAGATTAATATCTGAAAAACCTGCTCAGTCAAATCATTCACATTCACATCGTTCTCATCCCCATCACCATCATCAACAGCATCCTCTATATCATCATTATCAACAACAACAACAACAGCAGCAGCAGCAGCAGCAGCAGCAGCAGCAACAACAGCTTCATCATCAGCATCAAAATAATAATAACAATAATGATATCCAAGCTTCAAATTTTCCATCAATTTTTGGAAATTCAATGCCACAACTTCCGATATCATCATCACCTACAATACCTACAACTACAATACCTCAAATAAATGCTACTTCTTCAACACACTATAATGATTTTATCGATCCACATACTTACCACAAACCTATCAATGCTTATAAAAATGCTGTTCAAGAATTTATTTTGTTCTGTAGCTTCGTAATAAGCTATTTTTTGCTATGGCTAGAAATACTAAATTAATTTGTTCAGTAGATCATGCTTCCTGTAGAATAATGAAAAACTCATCAATGATGGATGCTAGAATTACTGAAGGCCTTGAAATAAAACAAAGAGAAGATAGAGAAAGAAAGGAAAGACAAAAACACACAAATCTAATACAAAGCATTGGTAGTCACCGTCATAATTTCTTACAAGGGCATTTT